TTTCATTTTTACGTGAAACAGAATGGTTTCAGAAGCATTCATTGTACTCGTGCTTCCAATAATGTATGGCCGAGTACGTTTCCTTGTTCAGGTGTATTCCTGTACCACAATCACGGTTTTCATCTTTCTTTTCCTGTCTCCTCTGAATAAGGTGCTATTCTTCTGTGATCCATCCGTCAGTGGTCGACCGAACGATTTCCACACGGCCACAAAATTGCACTCTTTGGCCACCACTCATCTGATCAGTTCTGTCATTCAGTTTTATATTGCTGTCGAATCAACCGGGGCAACTAATGAGTTCTATGACAAGTTCTCCATTCGCTACAACATNTTTGATCACGTGGTGGCGTGAAGGATTTCTCAAGACTCTTTTTATTCGAGAAGCAGAGTAAGTTCTTGTGTCCGTGCAGTAAGTTGTGCTGATCGGTGTAGATATGAGTGGAACCAGGTTCGACAATTTTTACATTCTAAACTCGAACGGTTGGGTAATCGTTTGTTCATGCTTAACGCTGTTCGCTTCGCAATGTCTAATCGGTTAGGGATTGCGGTACCAATTACGAATAAACAGTATGATCGTCTCGTCCCTCTCACCCGTGACCTTAGGCAAGTAAATTCCCTCTGACCCCTAATGAGTTCGGATTGGGTTATATTCCGCGATCTGCGGCGCTTAAAATCTCTCACCCAAACACGAGATCGTCTGATAACCGGCTTGTACGTTGTGTTGCTACGTCCAGTCCAGCCGAGTGCTGATGGCACTACTATATTATTATTATATTTCACACTTGTCTGAGGAGAAACAGTGTGCCAAACAAATCATGATACAATAATCTTTACAAAAAGGAAAATGTTCCATGAGTGGCCTGTGGGCTGAGTACTGCCAAGTTGCCCAGGCCAAGGCAGCTGAATTTTCCTGAGGAATCCACAACCGGAGCCTTCGGCTAGCCTAAGCCTAACCCGTAAGGCAGCGAGGCGATGTGTAACAACCGCAGTCCATTGGGAGACAGTGTCCAGTTCATCGGATCATACACCCTTCGGACGGGGGATCACACGTCCAAGGTTCCCAATACACCTCAATGGCCGGTGACCACTGCCACAACCGAAAAGGGGTGGGTGTGGTTCGTACGCCTCCTCATGGTTGGTTTGGAATCAGGGTTTTTGGGCAACTCGCCTAAGTGATGGCACTCCTGCTACACAGTCGAAGTTTACTGGGCCTGCCTGAGGCTCACAGCTGTAAGAAAAGTTGTGGTTTCTCGCTCCGGTTAGCTGGGTATTTTGGCGCAGTGCGCAAATATTCCAACTGCTACCATTCTGAAGCTGGAAGAAGACTATCTTCACCGGGATTGGCGATGCAAGCAGCAGAATGGAAAACATATGGAACAACTTTTATAATATGAATATAATTCTTTCCGTAATATTTGTTCTTTCTTTCTTTCGAAATTCTATCTCCGAGGTAGTTAGCGAGATCGTTCAACGAGAAAACAACCAGTTGGAAAAAACAACAAGAGTTTTGTGTGAGTCTACATTAGTGGATATTGTTGTCCGTTATTAAGACAAGTTCAAAGTTTTATTATGATTATCTGTTTACCGAACCCGCTTCGAGAGATAGTACTTGTATATAGTCAATCTCGTCGTATGTCACATTCTTGAGAATTTCACATTTTCTGGTATGTTTCCACTTGGTTTGCGTTGCTCGCGAATGTGGCCTAACGTAAATATTTAGTCAAAGCAGCTTGCCCCGGAGCGGAATCCAGCTTGTTCTTCACTTAAATGACGCTCTGTCATCTAACTGAGCACGTGAAAGGTCGCTGATATAATCACCTTCAGTGCAGTGGAGATGACACTAACCCTTTTGTGTTTGGCGCGGTCATCGGGGTACCCTTCTAGAAAACATGTACCACGTCCAAAGAACGCCAGTCGGATAGAATGGATTCAGTATTCCGGATGGTTTGTAATAATTATGTTAGTTCCCGGACAAGACTCGCACCACCGTCGTTGAAACGGAACGGAGGGAGGTCATCTGGGCCGGGCGATTTGTAGAACTTCAGAAGTCTGAGCTTTCATAGGACTGCACTCTCGGCATTGCGAATACCAGGAGATGGAGTTGTTAATTTCGATAGCCAACTGAGTTGGTGATGAATATGCTCCGCCCAAGCCGATGTCGTAGATTGTTAGTTTCGTGTATGGTTTCGTTGCTGCGTGGTTTTTTTACCGGTGGCTCGGAATAGTCGAAAAATCTTGTGGGCATTACCAAAATAAGCGACTGGTTCCATCTCGGTAGCTCATTGTGCCCACCAGGTCTCTCGGTCCTCTTTTGGGAACCTTTTCAGTTCAGCACTGAGAGTTCTAAGAACTGTGTTGTATTCAGTACTTGAGGGATGCCTCGAAGAGTGTCAAACAATTGGAGATAATGTGTGTGTACCTATTGGTTGACGGTGTGTTATTGAAATTATATGCCGTGGTGGCAGACTTATGCATGGTTGTTACGGATATTTGCCCACTGGCTGTCAACGTTCGAGG